GTGAAGAGGTTAATTACTGCGAGAACAAATTTATGGTAATTGTTTGAAGGAATAGAGGGTTCATGAGGAAAAAAAACATTTTTACCATAGAGAGTGCTGGGTGTCTGGAATTCACTGTCAGTATGTTGTGTGAGGCAGAAACCCTCAACTCATTTGAAAGGAACCTGGACTGACCCCTGAGGGAATTAATCTGCGAAGCTATGGACAAGGGGCTGGAAAGTGAAATCAGAAGGGTGGCTCTTTCATTCAGCCAACAATGGGCTGAATGGCCTCTTTCAGTGCTGTGATGTTTTTACGGTTCATAGCCGTCTGCCTTCCAAATTCCTTGACATATAACGATTTGTTTCCAAGACAGGGTTGGTTGGTTGGTTACACAATGGTGTTCACAAAACAGTGCTCCATTCAACTTTCATTTCCTATCAGAATTGCATATTCTCACCCTTTGACCACATTGGGTGCCATTATGCCTTCCCTGGGGGTGGCAGGAGGGCAAATGTTTGGCCCCAACGAGATACTTGCCCTCCTTCTGCCACCATCTTGCCTCAGTAATTAACTGCTGAGAGAGGATTTCCATGGGTAAGCTTCTCAGCTTACCACCAACGAAGGCCAAGGTTATAGACTTGCTCGCCAAGCCGGTGTGTGTGGTTGCAAATGTTTCATCACCCTAATAGGTAACATTGTCAGTGCGCCTCTGGTGAAGCATTGGTGTTCTGTCCCGCTTGTTATTTATATGCCTCGGTTTGCTGGGGTGGTTGGCATCACTTCCGGTTCTGTTTTTCAGTGGTTTGTGTATCGGGGCAAACACCCATAAATGGAGTTGCATCAGGACATTATTCAAATGAGCCGCAACACACTAGAGCGACCTGGAATTGCTCACGGGAGCACTTCTACAGAGTTTTTAAAAGGCACAACCGCCGTTAGCTCCGCGACAGACCACAACAATAAGACACAACATGGCCAGACACACTCGTCACCTTACCACGCATCAGGGACATTTCAGAGATGGCCATAAGACTACTCAGACCCCTTGGTATCAGAGTGGCCCACAAGCCTACAACCACCCTGCAACAGCTACAGATGAACGTAAAGGATCCCATACGCACAACCAATAAAATTAACGTAATATACAAAATACCATGCAAGGACTGTGAGAAACATTACACAGGTCAAACTGGAAGAAAACTGACAATACAGATACACAAACACCAACTAGCCACCAAGAGACACGACCAATTCTTAATGGCCTCGATACACACGGTCAAAGAAAGACACAAATCTGACTGGGTCAACACATCCATAACATCACAAGCCAAACAGAGACATACCAGGGAATTCCTGGAGGCCTGGCATTCCAACCGGAACTCCATCAACTAACACATTGAACCGGATCTGATGTACAAATCACTGAAAAACTCAACCGGAAGTAACACAGATGAACCCAGCAAACAGAGGCATACAAATTATAAGCAGGACAGAACACCAATGCTTCACCAGAGGCGTACTGATGATGTTACCCAGCAGGGTAATGAAACATCAGCAATCAAACACACCAGCTCTGCGAGCAGGTCTACAACCTCATCCATGGCCTGAGCTACAAATCTTCTCAAAAAACAATGAAGGCCTTTATGTGATCAGTTAAGGGTCACCACTAGATTGATTATCTGCCTCTCCAACAGGCGAGAAGAGTGTCAGGTTTCCTGTGTGGCCTGCCTTCTGGGCTGGGGAGAGGGACTCTACTTGCCTCAGTCTTGAGGGGAGGGGACACGGGATGGTGGATATGGATGAACTATACTCCACAAGACCTGAAATAAAAGCACATAACTTCTTGCCATTTAAACCCCTAAAGCATAACCCTTGAGAGATGCTTTCTAGGGCCAAGAAGCCATCAGATTCTGATTGCCTGGCTCTTTCTGGCAGGGGTGAGACTTCAGTATGGAGGTTTGTAATTCACAAGCAGCTCGCTGGTCAGCTCTCAACTGGCTGATTGGAACTATTATTTTTTCTTTCTCATTGTTGAATTTGGAGAGAGTCACTTGACCCTGAGGACGCCTGTCCCCACATTTAGTGCATGTATCTACGTGTGAGCTAAGTGTCAGGCTGGCTGAATGGTAACGTTTAACCTCTGAGTCAGAAGATTTTCAGATCACAAAGAGTTTCTTGGTGCATTGAACTTAAATCTTGCTGTAAAGAGAAACAGGTTACCACTACTTTCCATCTTTTACCCATTAGGACAAACGCAAGAATGCCAAAATTTGAATAATTGCGACAATTTATACCTTACGAGACAGAGGTGTTAATTAATCAGCAAGTTGACATTAGCCAAAATGTTGCCATGGGGAAAACAACAGGGTAACTAAAGGTTCCCCAAGCAACAGGGATATTATAAGTAAGTTGTAAGGCTTGAATATTGTCCTTTTATCTTGATGAATATAAGATGAAAAACTTTAACACTATGTCTCTCTTCAGCAATTCCCACTTTTTAGGATTTTGCCCCAGTCTAGGAACATGAGCAAATCATTTAAGACCACACTAAGAGATCACTGCACTTTTGAAAATGCCATTTTTTTAACTATTAAATTAAACAAGCCCAGTCCAAGTTCTTGTTAGATTTATAATGATCACACCCCATTATTTTGAAGATAAGCAGGAAGATTCTACCCATTCAAAGATATGCAGGTTAGGTGGATTGGCCATGCTAAATTGCCCATAGTGTCCAGGGGTGTGCAGGCTAGGTGGGTCAGCCATAAGAAATACAGGGTTATAGAGACAGGGAAGGGGTGGGGTTAGTGAGCCTGGGTGGGACGCTTATCAGAGGGTCAGTGCGGACCTGATGGGCTGAATGGCCTGCTTATGCACTGTCAGGATTCTATGATTCTATCAGTTTTAATCCTGACCCAGGCCCTTATCAACTGCTGCATGTGGAGCTTCCTATGTACAAATTGGCTGTCACATCTCTTTTACTGGGACAGATCTTCAAAAATTCACCACTGGCCATATGTTTCTTTGGGGTGTCCTAAAATCATGAAAGTTGATCAAGTTTTTCTTTTGACTTGTTTTGACTACTTTTAGCTCAAGTTGCCAATAAACTCTTTCTTCTAGTGTTGCAGATTTTGCTCTGAAAGCCTCATCACAGTTTGATCAGACAGCTTGAAAGTTTACACCCCTGTACCACGTTAAACAAATGTCATTCCTGAGTTCTCTGATACTTTAAAATATTAAGAGTGTGATTAAACCAAACCTGATTCGTTGAAATCAATTTGTTGAAGACTGGTGGACAAATGGCCAACCCAGTCAGATTAATATTGAAAAGAAAAATATAAAGAACAGAAAATATAATCAGAAATCAAATACACAATGCTCAGGCTCCTGAAGGTAGATGGAGTTTGTATGTGAGCAGGGAAATGAAAACACAGTAAGCACTACCAATTTCAATCTTCAGGTGATTGCCTGATGTAGTGGTAATATCAGTGAAGTATCAATCCAAAGACTGAGGTTAATGTTCTAAAGTCACGGGCTCAATTTCCACAACGGCAGCTTGCAGAATTAATTATTTAACTAAATTTAACTATTACTACCTGCAATTGAATGATTGTCAATAATGGCAACAATTGTAACAACCATCAAATGTTATTAAAAACAAAACCCATCTGATTCTTTCAGGAAGGAAATCTGATACTACTACCTTGTCCACGTTACTCCAAACCTATGGAAATGTGATTGATTCTGAACCATTCTCTGAAATGGCTCCCTCATTTCACGGGCAACAAACACCCACGTACACATCCCATTAACAAATTTTAAACAAAACCTGAAGTGTGAGTCGCCAGCAGAAGCAACAAAGGGGGCTTGACATCATTGTAACATTATTGTTTTCCTCAACTAAACAGGACTGACTCAATCCTGTAGTCACTACTTAAGTTCTAAGGAATGATCACTCGACCTGAAACGTTAACTCTGATTTCTCTCCACAGATGCTGCCGGCCTGCTGAGCTTTTCCAGCAATTTCTGTTTTTATTACTTAAGGTCTATTTTGCACAATTCCAGAATGTTCTGAAGAAGGGTCATTGGATTCAAAACATTAACGCTTCTTTCTCTCCATAAATGCTGCCAGACCTCCTGAGTTTCTTTAGCAATCTCTGTTTTTGTATCTATACAATTCCAATTGGTGTAAAACCCCAATATTGCCTATGTACCTGACAAGGCACCCTGTTTATTGGGTTCTGAGGAAGGGTCACTCGACCTGAAACATTAACTCAGATTTCTCTTCACTAACACTGCCAAACCTGCTGAGCTTTTCCAGCAATTTCTATTTCTGACCCTATTTATTGGATAGGGTTGTAATGGTTGTGCCCGTCTATTGGTAGTTTAAAATGTCAGTCAAGAGTCTTGAAGATTTTGACTTTTATTGGCTGTACAGGCATGCCAATCAAATGTTCCCCCGCCCTCATGTATCTCTAATTGGTGCTACAGCAACCCCAATCTTGAGCATTTCTCCTGTATAAAAGTGACTAATATTTCAAAAGCTTTAAAAATTGCAGAGTTACTCTAACTGGTCATCTGTGATGGGCAATGCTGCAAGTAATACCAAAGTGTAAGTACAAACCTAAAGCAGTAGACATGACTATGTATGAGTAGCCTTTTCAAAATATCTGTACTGTGTTAATGTGTAACAATTCAAAAGCAGATTTTGTGTTGTATGATATAAAAAATAATTTTTATTTCCTTTAAAGGTTTGTTTCAACATAAATTCTAATTAGCAAATATTTGCTTCTCAGATCTTATAGCTCATTCTTATGAAATGTCATGTTTTACTATTATATTTAGACAATATATTTTAAAAAGACATTTTCAATATATATCTACTGATTGTTCTTCAAATTTAGGAAATTATTACAAGCACGGATTCATTTCATTTGGATAATGGTGTCCAGTTAATCGTTAAACCATTATCCTCTTACAAGGGTCAGGTGGATTTTATAAATACATATTTTCCCACGTGCCTCCAGTGTTCATGACAGTTTTGAGTCCTCAGGTTCTGTGTCAGAGAAAACACAAACAGTGAAATGGTTGAACAGCTAACAGCTGACCAGAAGTGTTGTGATTTGTGCAGCAGCTTTTAACAAACCAGTAATTCTTGGACCACAGACAAAAGCCAAGAGCCGAAAGCAAAGGGTAGAAAAGAAAGACTTGCATTTGTATGGAGTTGTCCATAACCGGAGAATATCCTGATATGCTTTAAAACCAATGAAGTGCTTCTGAAGTGCAATCTCTGTTGCAACATAAGAAATATGGCAGTCAATGTGGAGTCATAGAGAGGTACGGCATGGAAACAGACCCTTCGGTCCAACTCATCCATGCTGACCAGATATCCTAAATTAATCTAGTCCCGTTTGCCAGCATTGTGCCCATATCCTTCTAACCCCTTCTATTCATGTACCACCCAGATGTTGTTTAAATGTTCTAATTGTACCAGTCTTCACCACCTTCTTTGGCAGCTTATTCCATTCACGTACCATCCTCAGCATGAAAAGTTTGCCCCTTATGTCCCTTTTAAATCTTTCACCTCTCACGTTAAACCTATGCCGTCTAGTTTTGGACTTCCCTACCCTGGGGAAAAGACCTTGAATATTCACCCTATCTATGCCCCACATGACTGTATAAACCCCTATGAGGTCACCCTCTCAGCCTCTGACACTCCAGGGAAAATAGCCCCTTCCTATTCAGCTTCTCCATATAGGTCAAACCCTCCAACCCTAGGCACAGCAAGATCCCACAAACAGCTATATTGTAATGACCAGATGGTAGGGTTTGTTAATGACATTGAAGGGTGGAAATTGTGTGGGGTGCCCTTATCCTGGAATACGGTGGCAGAATGTTTTATTGCAGCTTGAGAAAATGTTGAGAAAAGCTGTGTGAAAATGTTGCTCCTTAGGTCCCTTTTAAATCTTTACCCTCTCACCTTAAACCTATGCCCTCTAGTTTTGGACTCCCCTACAGTAGGAAAAAGACCTTGACTATTCACCCTATCCATGCTCCTCAGGATTATGTAAACTTCCACAAGGTCACCCCTCAGCTTCCAATGTTCCAGAGAAAACAGCCCCAGCCTATTCACCCTCTCCCTATTGTTCAAACCCATCAAGCTCAACTGCTCATTCTTAGTTGGAAACCTTGCATTATGGAAGCAAACTTACCCAGCCTGAGGTCAGAAGCAGCAACATTGAGCAAGAAGGACTAAGTGAGCTTGATAATAGAGATAATGTATTTTTTTTTCTTGAAGAAACTTCTGTATTTAGTGGAACCAAGATGAGGTTTGATTTTGAATGACACTTTGCACATTCACTTCCTGCCTGTGAAACAAAGCATCATATCAATTCAGTTGTGGTCTTGTCTCATTAAAATGTTTCTCTCTACCTTCTGAAATTGGTGAAATGCACATTAGGGAGAGGCGGTGGTAATGTAACTGGACTAGTAGCCCAATGTAATCTTATTTGTTTGAAAAGAAACTGAAATGAAAGATAGTCTCAGTGATAGTGACCATTAAACTGCCATAAGTTGTCACAAATACCTAACTAGAAAGAAGCCTGCCATCCTAACCTGGTCTGGTTCATGTATGACTCCAAAACACACAGTAATGTGATTGACTCTTAACAGCCCTCAAAAGACAATTACAAGTGGGCCACAAATGCTGGCAATGCCAATGATGTGCAGATTCCATCAAAATAAGGGAAAAAAAATAATTCTAGTCACTAGGACTGAGTGTATGCACAGTTATTGGAAAAGAAAATATCATCATGTTGAGGCTGTACAGGACATTGGTTTGGCCACTTTTGGAATATTGCATTCTTTTCTGGTCTCCCTGCTACAAGAAGGATGTTGTGAAACTTGAAAGGGTGCAGAAAAGATTTACAAGGGTGTTGCCAAGGTTGGAGGGTTTGAACAATAGGGAGAGGCTGAATAGACTGGGGCTGTTTTCTCTGGACCATTGGAAGCTGAGGGGGTGACCTTTAGGAAATTTACATAAACAGGAGGAGTGTGGTTAGGGTGAATAGTCAAGGTCTTTTGCCCAGGGTGGAGGAGTCCAAATCTAGAGGGCATAGGTTTAAGGTGAGAGGGGAAAGATTTAAAAGGGACCTAGGGGCAACATCTTCACACAGAAGGTGGTGTGTGTCTATAATGTGCTGCCAGAGGAAGTGTTGGAGGCTGGTGCAATTACAACATTGAAAAGGCATCTGGGTATTTGAATAGAAAGGGTTTAGAGGGATTTGGTCCAAATGCTGACAAATGGGACTAGATTAATTTAGGATATCTGGACGGCATGGATGAGTTGGACCGAAGGGTCTGTTTCCATGCTGTATATCTCTATGACTCTACGGCTAATACTTGCTTTATTCAAATCTAATTTAGTTTGTAATTGGCAGTCAGTTGAAATCAACAGCTTTAAATTCAGTCGATGCCAGCCTTAAGTGGGGTTTCAGTGAAAGTGCAGCTTGATTATGAGCCAGTTGAAACTTAAATCTTCACTCAATGAGACAGCTTGGCCATTTGTCTTAGGAACATAGAAAACAAGCCAGCTTAGTGTGGCTTAGCACCTGAGTGGAGAGTGCCAGGGTTAAATAATTAAGAATAAGACAAGGAAGGGAAAGAAGCGCTTTGTTACTCTTCCTCTTCCTAAACTTTTCTTCAACCTCAGCAATTGATTATCTCTCTGCTATAAGAGATGAAGCTAGTTATTTGGTAAGTGTCTAAGGCCTATTGTATAGCAACCTCTGAAAAGGTTAATAAAATATGTAAACACCTAACAAAATATAACATTTAATGAAATAATTAAGTTGTTCCTTAGAACATATTAAGGATTACAGGACAGGTGATGTGCCATAGTTTCATTTATGGGTGCTTCCAGATATGAATTTGGCTCAGAGCAAACATGTCTGCAACAGATGCTTGAGGTTCAAGCAGCTTTGCTCAGAGTTTATGAGCTGGAGACTGAACTACATGGTGGTTCAGTGGCTCGCACTGCTACCTCGCAGCGCCAAGAACCCAGGTTCCATTCCACCCTCAGGTGACCATCTCTGTGGAGTTTGCATGTTTCCCCCCATGTCCCTGCGTGCATGTCCCCCGGGTACTCCGGTTTCCTCTCACAGTCCAAAGATGCACAGGTTAGGTGGATTGGCCATGCTAAATTTTCCCATAGTGTCCAGGGATGTGCAAGCTAGGGTAGGGGGTGGGTCTGTGTAGGATGGTCTTCACAGGGTCGGTGTGGACTCGATGGGCTGAATGGCCTGTTCCCACACTGTAGCGATTCTATGATTCTACAGACATGGTGATACATCAGGGAAGGAGAAGGTTACCTGGATTCTCTGAACCAGGAGGCAGCCACACATCTTGGGATTCAGTTGGCGGGAGAGTGTAACGGTGAGTGAGGCAGCTAATGTGACCCAGAAGGCAGGTGCACAGGAACCTCAGCATTTCCAATTGCTAAACAGGTTTAAGGTTCTTAAACCTGCCTGGGTGAGAGTAAGGGCTACAGGAATGTGAGCATGGCACCATTGTCCAGGAACCAATTCAAGAAGGAGAGGAAATAAGAAGGAACATAATGGTAGTAGGTACAGTTTAGTGGTGGGCATTGATCTTGTTTTCTGCAGCAACGGCTCCAGGAGACTGTTACCTGCCAAGTCCAGAGTTCAGGACACCCCCTCAGAGAGGGAGAGGAACTTGGAGTGGAAGGAAGAGGATCCAGTTGCAATGGTCCATGGAGATATCAATAACTGAGGCAAGAAAAAGAAGGAGCAAGGCATCAAATTAAGAAGCAGAATTTCAAGGGTCATAATCTCTGGATTATGAGTCACATGCAAATTGGCATAGGACAAATCAGATTAGAGAAATGAGGATTTTAAACTAAATAGTGAGGGCAAAGAATCAAATTTTAGAAGGTGTGGTAAATCCAAAGTCCAAAGAGAAAAGTATTAATATGGGGAATTATAAACAGACCATGACAGATAAAGGTAGTGATTCCAAATCTAAGAGTCAACCAACAGATAAAACTGGAATTTATAAAGACAGTAAAAGGATAACACTAAAGGGTCTGTACCAGAGCTTGGCAGCTGAAATAAAACAGATGAACTGAGAACACAAATAGAACTGAATAAGTATGATCTGATAGCCATTTCAGAGCTGTGACTGCAGAGTAAATTTACAGTAATCTGGCAGGATGCGAAAGGGAAATTATGTTTGACCAATCTATTGGAGCTCTTTGAGGATATAACACATGCTGTGGATAAAAGGGTGGATCTGGTGCGCTTAGATTTGCAGAAGATATCACATCATAGGTAACAAATTGGAATAAGTAGAAGATAGAGCTCCTGCTGCTTGGCCTGCTGTGTTCATCCAGCCCTGCACCTTGTTGTCTCGGATTCTCCAGCATCTGCAGTTCCTACTATCTCTAAGTAGAAGATAGGCTGGCTACCAAGAAGCAGACAATGGGCATGAACAAGTCTTCTTCAGGTTGTCAAGATGCAGTGAGTGGTATGCCACAGGGAGCACATCTTTTTACAATTTATACAAATTACTTCGATGAAGGGATGGATGGTATGGTTGCCAAATTTGCTGATGACTTGAAGATTTGTATGTTAATGTGTAGAAGTTGTCTTACTTCTATTTTAGTTAATTGGATATTCAGATAGCTCGGGTACACTTCTGAGCATAAGCAAATTAATCTGCTTTTGGCAGTTGGATCAAGAGATGAATGTTTGCTCACTGAAACAGACAAGTAGAATGTCGAGTTTGCAACTCAGTAAACCCTCCTGCTGACGTCTATTTTGTGCAGTGGGTAGTGTCCCTGCCTCTGAACCAGAACCTCTGACTTTGGGTCCCATGAGAGGATTTGATGGCCAAGCAAGCTATGGTCATTATACAATCAGATGAGTATCAATTAGCTAAAGGTACCCAACACACCCTTAGTGGCAGGGAGAAGAGATTCCTTGTCAGCCACATGATTGAGTGAAAACAAAGAACGGGTTACAACATGCATGAAATTGA